CTCACCGGCTCAGGGTTGACTCAGCCTTCCATCCTTCCGAGGTGGGTAAAATGAGGACCCGGATTGTTGTTGGGGGCGATATGCTGACTGTGTAAACCACTTAGAGAGGGCTGAAAGCCCTATGAAGTGGTATATAAGTCTAACTGCTATTGCTATAAGGTAGACAGGCAAATTCAAAATTTAAAAAATAGATATAAGTCACAGTAGGATTGTGTTTGAATAGTTTATTTGAGCTATATGCATACTTAAGAATACTTTAATCCTCATTAATACATTCACAAATAGTCCAAAGTATTACTAATCATAGTTTACTGAATTAGTTAAGCATCAGACATCATTATATGGGTGAATCAAGTGCTATTGAGTTCAGTTGGATATCTTTCTGTACAGTACCTACAAAATACTATTAAGAAACTACACAGACTTGATTGATATGAAGTGCCCCAAATATATCTTGACAGAACTTCTGTTCTATATTGTAGTATGTCTTTGAGCAACTGCCATTTAGCTTTTCATAAAAATATGGAATAAATATATTACATATATTTTAAAATTATACTTACAGCATCGTGAGCAGAGGTGGGAACAAGAAAAGGAACTGTTACAGAATCAGAACACTTGGCTGAATACTGAATTGAAGGCAAAAACAGATGAGCTTTTGGTCCTTGTTCTAGAAAAAGGAACTGAAATCTTGGACCTCAAATATGGCGTGGAGAACAAGAAAGAGGAGGTAGAGGAAATCAATTTTCAATCAGTCCATATTACTATGGCAGACCGGGTGCTGGGCTCGTAGACTTCTTGTGCATAAAGTATTCTAATTCACTGTTAATATTCTAGCCTTCCAACTTTGAAAAACCATACATCTAAGAATAAGAATTATTCATGTTTATCTTGTGTCGCACATCTAGGTTTCCAGACTGGAAGAACAAGTCACTGGACTAAAACAATCTAATAGCAATCTACAAAAACATGTGGAAGATCTTTTGGAAAAATTAAAAGAGGTACATATAATTGCTTTGTTTGAACTTTTTTTGGCAACCAAATTTTGCTCCCATTTATAATTTTCCTGTAAAGTATTGAATTGTTTTAGGAGTATAAGAATGTATTGGTTGTTTTATTTTTAATTGTTTCAAACTTTAGAGATTTAACTAAATATGTATGTTCATTTTTTAGGCAAAAGAGCAGCAAGCTAGTATGGAAGAGAGATTCCACAATGAACTAAATGCCCATATCAAGTTATCTAATTTATACAAGGTATGATTTCACTATTTGTTCATGATTTCATCTTCTGTATTTAGAAGAGGGTGGTCCTGTGAGGAGGCATGGTGTCAGTTTGGATCAGCAAACGGGGGCCATGATTTTTATATTGTACAAATCAGTGGTGGGTTTCAAAAATTTTTCGAACCTGCTCTGTAGGTGTGACCTCTTTTGTGCGAGTGGCTTGCCGGCCGTGTGACCTGGTGGGAGTGGCTTGCCGGCCATGTGACCTGGTGGGAGTGGCTTGCACGCCATATGTTTTCTCTCTTTCCTTCCTTTTGTCTCTCTGTCCCTTTTTCCTTTTCTTCTTTCATCTCTCTCTCACTTTTTCTTTTTTTTTCTTTCTTTTTTTTCTTTCTGTCTTCCTTTCTTTATCTTTCTCTCTGTGTGTGAGTGTGTATGTGTGTGTGTGTGAGTGGTGGGTTTCAAAAAATTTTGGAACCTCTTCTGTGGGTGTGGCCTGCTTTCCGGGTCCACTGGTGGAAGCTCTTCTTACCGGTTTGGTAGATTTGACGAACCGGTACTACCGAACTGGTGCGAACCGGCAGGAACCCACAAATTTTACTTCATGTTCCCAGCAGTCTCTTACAGGTTTCAACATTTGTCCACTTCCATAGGCTTTAGCT